TTAATTATCAAAGTATATAATATAATTTGTATATTATGATATACAAAATCTTTAATTACCTAAACTACTTTTTTGTATTTCCAGGGTTAATTTGATTTTTCAAAGTTTTTGGAGATTTATGGCTTTAAACATGACTCAACTATTTATAATTTGGTTTCACTTCGGGTTTTACAAAAAAAATATAAATGCAAACCGAATTTGACATCACTCGAACTGAACTTACCCGGAAAATATATGGTTCTTACACGGGTTATAAACACCCAAATGCGAATAACTCGGAAAAATATAAATGCAAACCCAATCTAACATTACTCAAACTAAACCGATCCAAAAAATGTAACGGTACATAAACACCCAACATAAATTACGATAAGACAACAATATAAATTACTTTTAATTATATACGTCAAAACTCAATAGCGACATACAATATATATTTTAATTTACAAATAGTCCTACGGAATATCGTTTTTAAAAGATATAAATTTACAATATATATCGACTTTCATATTTTCTGTTTTTTAAAAGCAATTTTTATTTTCTTTTTTAAAAAACAACTTCCATATATTTCTGTACAAATCGTATAAAAAGGGATACTAGACGAAAAAATGAAACAAAAACTAAACCAGTGCTCACAATATCTAAAAAACTCTTATATAAACTGAAACAAACTTGGAACCAAACTATCCAAAATAAAGTTTATATACCCAAAAATATAAATAATATTTAGCTTTAAAATTATCAATACTCTAAAAGCACTACTTATAAACTGAACTACCCACAAAGCAGGGTTTTCCTATTTATTTTTATCCAAAATGTTTTAATTATCCTCATTTGCTATAAACATGAATATATTTTGTCAAAAAAATTTAAATTTATTTACTTTATCTGATATTTATACCAAAATCATACTTATATGGTTTTTTATTTGAATTATTCAAAATTATCCAAAAATGGGAACCATAATTGAAATGAACTCAAACATTTATTAGATTCATAACATTGTATTCCGAACCAAACCAAAAACCAAAATAACCAAATTCGAATTCATAATAACGGAATGCTACTTATCTATACTATTAAGATAAAATACCTGTTTTTGAGGTCCCTTTAATTTACTTTAGTATTTACAGATTTTGCCACACCTATATTCATGGTAAACCATTTTAATTATTATTTTTAGCTGAAAATACAATAAATTCAGAGGTTGATGGTTAAATACCACTTCTAATCAACTTCTGCAGCATAAATAATGAGATTATAACATGATCAAGTTATTATTTTTAGTAAACATCATCAACTGGTCTTTACTCAGTGGTCTTACAAAAGAAGCACAAACATACACTTGGGAAACCGAGGATCTTCAGGTATACCATTTAACTTGGACTCTAACATCTCGGCGACATATTACATCCTAGCGAGACGACATATTACATCCTAGCAGGCGTAGATTTATAAAATTCACAAATCACAAAACCTATGTTTATGGAATTTAGGAAAGATTTTAATCTATATATGTTGGATTAAACCATAATTCTTTTCGACCATCTATCTGAACCCGGATACTCATGCCTATACATACTTGTG